TAGGCAAAGACGTATCAGTCTGTTGCCCCTCGCCTCCTTTTGTATTTTTTTTAGTCAAACTGAATAACGGATCAATTATGTTATTGAATTTGTTACTATTGTGCGCTCGTATAACCTCGTTTGGATTATTTTTTTTCCTATGAATACTAGATATCTTCAAGATTTTTTTATAGCTCTTGAGATCATTGGAATTGATTAAACTTTGATCAGGTTGCTTTGCTACCAGTAACTCCATTAATCAGTGTTTTTGGATACTTGAAACCATCGACGTCTACGATATTTTTGTCAAAAATCACCGAAGATTTACTATGCGTGTATGGTCCATTTCGTTCTTTACGTACTCCATAAATCAAGTCCACGAAATTCCAATCACTTTTATCCGATGCATTCGTGAATTAGAAATTCTTTTCTTTATGCGGGCGTTTTACCCTTAGTACACAACGAAAAATTTCTTAATTACCTATTCATTAATTTACCGTTCCCGTTCCGATTACCTCCATTGCTAGGCCCGCAAGGAATGTCATGTAACGAAACTTCGATCGATATCAATTTTTAAGCGTGGGAAAGTGAGGTGCACTCGCTCATAGCAATCGAGAAAGGGGAAAAGAAGGAAAAAGTAAAGAAATGAAATTAAAAATCAAAATCAAAATCACACCAAATCAACTTAAAATCACACTTCAAATACCGTAAATGAACAAACCGTATGATTATGATCATAATCAGCTTTACAAACTCTTAACCTCTAATGAACACAACGGGGTTACAAACACGTCTTACCTCTATAGAATACAACGGTGTTCTTAACACCTACTACAATAAAAGAACAAAGAACAAATTAACTAATTTACCGCGCTTACAAATCTAACCAACGTACAGAACGTGTCGCCCGGCAGGTGACCGCCATGACGACGAACCGACTTAGCCTACTTAAACTAAAAGAGAAAGCCGCTCGTCGAGGGATCGCCTTAACGGTACGCTACCTTAACAAATTAATGATGCCGACCGTAATTAAGGCAGGTAGCCGGCGCGTACGCGCCTTCCTACCTACCTGACTCGTACGACTACTCACTGTACCATACCACTAAAGAGAGAGAGAGAGAGAGAGAGAGAGAGAGAAAGAGAGAGAGAGAGGAAGAAATATTACGAGCCTTGATCTTATCGATGCAGAAACGGAAGGCCTGGCTGCGCCCTGCGGATGGTGTTGCTGGCCGTCGCTGGGCAACTCTTTGCCGGTTCCTTTGGGTAGCGTCCCTAGCAGATATTGGAAAAGATACTTGTCCTTTGTTTCTCCTAGCTTCTCGCGTCAGCTCCTTAGCGGCGTGTGCGTTCGGCTGACTTCTGCGCTCTCAACTGTACTCTTAACTCTGCACCGCTGACCGACTAAAAAACGTCTCTACCGCTGATCGATTGAAAACCTCCTGTCCGCTCATTCGCTTCCGCAATCGACAGCTTCTTCGCTCGCTCTTTTTCTCCCCACTTGACTACTTATTAAGCGGTGCACGACCAATGCACTAATTGGTTAGGCGTTGCGCGCCTCCCTAATCCTGCGTGGGGCACGCACGCCCCTTAATCTCTCTCTTTATCTAACACCTTATTCTTATCGCCCACTTAACGACTTCGGGCCGGCTCGGCCTCGTTCGGCAATCTCCGTCGACTGAAACAAAGACCATTGCATTAGGCACGTTCTCAAATGCGCTTAACGCTGGTTACCATGCCTTGCCGAGAGAGGGGAATTGGGGAAAATACCGACGAGAATAAGCGCAACGCTTGCTCTCGTCACAATTCCATAGTTTATAGATGTCTTTGTCCATCACTAAAAATCCATATTTATTATCCAACCAACATTTTGCACAAATTTATTTAAATTGATTGTAAGTCATATCTGGATTCACATGATCGTCATATATATGTTTCATATTGGCTTCGTCTTGTCGAAAAATTGCCAATAAATTGACGTTATCTCTTACGAGATGCTTAGGAATAGGCGCGAACGTTTGTGAGAGATAGAAGCAGTCGACACTTCTATATCTGCTCATACAAAAGAAAGCGCGTACATTGTCCTGTTTCTCGTTCAGTATAATCCGATAAATGGAGATGTTAAGAAACTTATTTAAGCTTATAGGAGAAGAGGGAAGGATATTAAGGAATTGACTCTTTCCTTAAGCAGCTCAGTAGTAGCTTTCTATCGCAATAGAGTACGTATTGGATATGCAAGGCTTCATGATGCCTGGAAAAACTTATGCTGTGAGAAAGTTAGCGATACTTCCACTTAACTACAACGAAGAACCACTCATACGCTTGTTCAAACCTCCCTTTCCATGGCGAAGACTAATGGAGAAATATAAGCGAGAAAATCTCTAGTTAGAACTTTATTATCATGGATTAACATGGAACTCTGGTGATTATATATACGAAGAGTAAAAATTCATTATCACAGATACACTCAAAGATGCCACAAAAAATTTCGTTTCCGGACATTTGAAAAAAAAGTGGTTAGAACGATATGGCCTAAAAGTTTTCGATTTGAATGATTGGGGCTATTCACCTTTCGAAAAATTAAAATCAGTTATGCCTTGTGCTCTAATCATAACGGCAAATGCGTAACGACATGTGCACATCAAAACATTAAATTAATGAAAAAGTTTTACATCGATGGTTGTTGCATGGATTGGTAAGAGGGCGATGAAGTCGTTGAAAAGATTTCTTAGTGATTTTATTTTATTTTTACGCAAATAATTTGTAGAATAACATGGATTTTTAAGAACATATAGAGTAATATATATTTTTTATCAATAAAGAATTTTTGTTTCAATTGATACAAAAAAAATATTCTTTTATTTCTTTATTTAACCATCCAAAAAAAAAGCGAAATTCTTCGCTGACTCTGACAACGACAGCAGCAGTAGCAGCAGTTCATCTTTTTATAATAAATTTTGTATTTGAAGCCCGTAATGGCTCGGTCAGTAGGGCAACGGACCCGCACCCGGTAGGCCCGGGTTCGATTCCCAGTCCCTGCTTATTAATACAAGCACCACTGAAAAAATTTTCATGTGCTTTGTTCTCAAACACATGCATGCCTCCGTCCCTGATTAGCACTAATGGAGCATAAATAGAATGACATTAAACAAAAAAAAAAAAAATAAAATTGTATTTTTTATCAACAAAAAAAATTTATACAACATAGAATTTAGATGAAAAAAAAATGTTTATTTATTGTAGTTGAGGTGGTGTACAATGATGACATGTGTACATATGATTACTAGTCCTTCTTTCCGTTATTGAACTGCTGATAGCCTTTTTGTCCAGGAAAATTATTATTATTGCTCGAAAATTTGGAAATACTTTGTTTCCATGTCGATGATTCTTTGTTCTTCTTTTCGTCCGGGTCTTCTTGTAGAAAACGAGAGTTCTTTACTTTAGAGTAGCAATCCATTTTATTGGAATACTGGTTGATGAATGAATGGATAATTCTTACACCGTGCTATGTATAGTAGCTTACAACCACGAAGGCTTCAAATAAAAGAAAGTAAGCAGGATTTTGTGTTGCATTTTGTGTTGCATGTTGGTTTTTTCATCGTTGTCTTCACAGATACTTGCACTTTTTTTTATTAAACCATATTGGGGCGATGAGACACATACACACAAACGTACACACACACACACACACACACACATTATAATAAAATTATTTAGGAGAGGGATATTAGTATCACCATAATAATAATAAATTAATAATATATATACACAATAAAAACTGTCCGGGGTACCAGTGGCAGTAGCTCTAGCGGTAGAGCATCGGTCTGCGGATCCAGAGGACGCGCGTTCGATCCCCCGATCTGTCCGTCCGTTTTTTTTCCGATAACATTACCTTGTTCTAGAAATTCAACATATACACATGCGTACACACACAATAAGATCAAATTGTGTAACACAGAACGCACGAGCATCAAGAGCACATCAGCTTAGTAGGGTCGGGGGGAGGGAGAGTGCATAGAACGCACGGGCGTCAGAATACATCAGCTTAGTAGGGGAGGGGGGAACGGGGAGTGCATAGAACGCATGGGTATCAGCTCAGTAGGGGAGGGGGAAGTGCATAGAACGCACGGGCATCAGAGCACATCAGGACAGTAGGGGAGGGGGAGGGGGGAGTGCACAGAACGCACAGGCATCAGAGCACATCAGCCCAGTAGAGGAGGGTCACACATTTTTTTGTTGATCTGATTGTCGCCAGAATTCCTTGCTTTTAAATCAGTGACCTTATCATGTACGCGCTTCTATCATAGCAAAGATTCGCAACGTTCTCTGTAGGTCCAGAAAAGACTTCCCTCTCGTCAATGAAATCACTGCGCTAATGTCTGCACTGTTCCCTGCAATGAGCCGATAATCGATTCATCGTTATAGTTTATATCCGAATAAATTAATGCTCATTTTTATGTACAGATTAAATAATAAATAAATAATAAAGTTTAAGAATACTAGTGTTATTATACCAGAAAACTTAATCTAAAACTAATCGTTTCAAAACTTTATCTTGGAAAAGCCTATTTTTTCATAATATGCGAAACTATAGCCTAACATTATAAGTTTAATTGTTCAACGTTGATGAAATTTGTATAAAATTTGCTATAAAAAATACAAATACTAAGACACGCTATACCACAATATAAATGATCTATTATTCCATGAAGTTCAGTTCGACATTGTTAGATCTATGGTCAATTTGGTGTAATTTGAAAAATTCCAATGTATTTATTTGAAAATAATACAATAAATGCAAGATTAGTTTAAGACAATACAGCACTATAGCCTACTGTACTTGGAATTCATTAAAGAAATTTCAGTCCTTAAATTTTTCTTCCATTTTCTAAACATATCTATATTAGTACAGAATTAAACTAATTCATATGAGATGATCAAAATATATTATAATCAAAATGAAAATATTACTACATCTTAAATATTGAAAATGTACAATTTCTAACATAACGCATACTTTTTAGATTTTGCCAATAGATTCTAAAGCTAGACAATTATTTATTACTACTGGAGGCTTGAAGGAGATTCAAAATATAAAAGCTCTTCCTGATTCGAATCTATCAAGACTTGTGAAAATCATTAAATGTTGCTTTCCTGAAGAAATTATCAGGTTAAGAATTTTTTAAAATAATTTTTATCTATCAAGTTCGATTATAATTAATTCAATCGCGGTATAACTCATTTAATCCATATTTAAAAATATAATGAGTAAATTTTCAGATACCATGATTCAGCAAATTACTTTTTAAGAATTCTCAAATAATTGATTATGTGTGGTGTGTGTGTATATTTATTGTAACGTTGTTATTTATTGGACAACGCCAATGTGGCTAAATACGTTGATTGCGTGCCAGGCATTAATGATTATTAATAATAAAATTAAATCTTTACTTTGGAGTAATGCCTCTCCGAGTTCAATCAAACGCAAGTACTTACGTTGTTGCTCCAGCATAGTGCAACGGTAGTCGATTCAATTAATCGAACCGTTCGCGATTCTGATTTTCGCGCGTTAGTTCTAAGTATTGAGAGAGAGAGAGGGGGCGCGCGATCTTTTGAATTAGCAGTTAAGCCTCAGATGTTACTTGTGTAGTACCGCCAAAATAGTTTAGCACAGTGTTTCACCGATTTACCAATAAAAAGTTTACTTGGATTTTGGATACGTGTGCAAGGGTGAGCGAGGAAGCCGCGACAGTAGCAGCATCACGGAAGCAGCAGCAAAAGCAACAGCTATTATACAGCAGATTTGCGATCGTCGCACCACAGCTAATTCTGATCTGAAGAGCACCTTTAATTTGCTTCAACAATTACGGCTGATCACCGTAATTACACCGCAGGGTAGGTGCACCTCCCTTAATTATTACGTGACAAAATACATTTAGTATTTTGTCCAACCGAGTTAGCGTTAATTTTTTGTATTCGCGTCGAGCGTTAGATCGCGCCAATATTCGTATCTTCTCTCTCTCTCTTTCTCACCGAAAGTTATTTAATTGTAAATCCTATTCGCGTGCGTCAGTCTTTCGGCCCGACAAAGACTGTAGAGATTTTTTATTAATAAAATCTATTAAACTTATTCGCTGATTTCGTCATATAATTTTCCTAGTAGTTTAAATAATTGGAAAAGGCTTAGGTTTTAATCCGATTACAGCTAGGGGATTAAGTGGATAAGAAGCAAAGTCGATTACACTTAAAACTCATCAAGTATCACAAGACACGTGACTTAAGGTGAGTTCAACTCCGCTTGATCGAAGACAACTAAGTTAAGTCAGCTGACGTTAAGGCGAATACACGTATTAACATACGTGTTAACGGAGCGGCGGTTTGCTCTGCATCGTGGGAGTTTGCTCATAAAGAAATTTCTCATTTTGCAGATTTATCCCCCCATTACATGGCGCCCAACTAGTATTAAGACCCGTGTCGTACGAATAGGATTGTGCGTCGAAGGTAATCGACGCACAGATTACCTTCGATTACCTTCGATTACCTTCGACGCACGAGAGAGAGAGACGATTGCGCAAGCGCTTAGGAAGGTTTGAGCGGTTGGTAGAGCGGGATCGTGAGCGGTACGCCCTCTGCTGGGGAAAAAACGAAACCACTTCGAACCTTTTGTTAAAAATTGTTAAGACTATTGTAAAAAGGGCCGAAAGCGATAATTATTGGTAGGTCGAAGTGATTTCAGGTCGTACGGGATAATCAGGTGTTAACCTATTTCAGCCACAGTTTGGTGGATAAAGGGGGGTTGGTAGCAGCTGATCAACGATAAAGCAGAGAGCGCGACCCAAGCGTGCAGTCCAGATATTATCCAGGCGGAGCAAGCAAACAGCAGGCTCCGACCTTAGGTAGGATATTATTATAATATTTATAGAAAGTTTACGGAGACTGCACGTGCTCATAATTCCTTTTAAAAGGCCTTATAAAAGGAGGCATTAAAAGTAGTAACACTAAATAGTGTACACCCCGCTCATACCTTGGGTGATAGGAGACGGTAGTGGTCGATTAGGCCGAAATTTTAAACCTCAACCGCATCCTACACCCGTGCGGAGGCAAGATGGCTCTGTTGTCAGCTCAAATCGACAATTGGGCATTAGACCTGACCTCCGCACAGCGCGAACGCCATTTAGTGGAGTTGTAACTGTGCAAGGATGGAAGTGTCATCCAACAGGCGGCTAGACTTGGGAGATGGTTGTTGGGTGAGTACACCGCCACAGATTTTGAAGAGACCACGCACAGCAAAGAGGTGACGGGGCGCAGGAGGCGAATCCGACAAGCGTGGCTCGACACAGTTTGTGACGAGTTGGAAAACCCCAACGCTGATGATAACAGCGACCATCCCCTCAGAATTATCAATAGGGAGGGAATATCATTGACTGATATGTCAAGGACATTCACCTGCCCGGATGAGGATTCTGAGGGTGAAGCCAGCCGCCAAGAAGAGGATGAACTCATCCAGAAGGCCCTCCGCACGCAAGAGCAGGAGGAGAGGGAGAGGAGACAGAGCAATCCGGATCCCAGGTCGCAGGAATCCTGCACTCGGAAGGAACCTCAGGAAGAATTATCCTTGAGTGAAGCCTTCCGGGAAATAGAGTATCTGAAGGAGGGAGTAGACCATAACCAAAAGTTGGTAGGTCGAATCCTAGAAACCCTTCAGACTCTACAGGGATTACAGGTGTGTGCGGAGCGCGAGGCGCAGGACATGCGCATACGAATTCGAGAGCTGGAAGACGCAATGCATGACATGGCCAGTGCTAACCGTTCTTCTCAGCGTGACTCGGTTCAACCGCGCTCCGGACGTAATGTGGACTTTCAGGACACATTCACCTGTCACTACGACTCGGGGATTCCGGGGAGTACACCGGCTCCTCCAAGACCAATACCTAGGAGAAGGGACGTCACAACACCGGAAGTCCTCCAAAGAAGAGGAGGTGAAGAGGATCTGGAAGTTTATGGGAGATCTGCACCCGTTCGACAGAGGAGTCGAAGCGGATCATCTGGCACCGGACATCAGATATTCTCATGGCTCTCCACAACCCGAGATGTTAGGAAAATTCTCCGCGGATGGAAATTGAGGTTTGCGGGCAGTAGGGCACAGAGCGTAGATACGTTTCTGTCGAGGTTGGAGGATCTGCGCGTAGGTGCAGGACTAACTGACGACGAAGTGCTTTGTTCCGTATCAGAGATCCTCGAAGGTAACGCGAGGACCTGGTACGATAACAACAAGTACCAGTGGCTCAGTTATGACGAGTTCGTCGCGGATGCCCGGGATTGGTTTGGCACAAGTACGCAACAGCAACAAAGGCTGTTGCAGGAAGCCCAGAACCGGTTCCAGGGTGAGGACGAACTAGTGCGAGACTACGTGTCCAACCTGGTGGCTCTTGACAATAGACTAGAACCGCCCATGCCCTTGGAGAGGTTATTAGACCTACTCCATGCAAACCTCCTTCCAAGCATCCAAATCCAGCTGCGTCGGAGCGAGATGACGTCGATACGCGAATTCAACAGGAGGGCAACCGAGGTACAGAACACCTTATCTTATGGTCGCCCTCCACGTGTATTCGCTGACCCCAACTCGACGATCTTCCCTCAGCATGCCTACCAGCCGAGCAAAAGAACGGCTGGTAGTAAATCCCAAACCGCTGCAATGGCAAGCGAAGGGAAGGCGCGTGCGAAGAAGGAGGGAGATCCGCAGCGCGGACTGGGCGTGGAGAACCCCGCCAGGAGGCCTACCGAACAAGCATCGGTATCGGCTACGGAAGCTTTCACTTCTGATAAGAAGATGGAAGAACGTCTGGAGGGCATCGAACGGATATTGCGCAAGTTGGCCACTGACAAGCAAGGCAGCCCTCCAGAACAGCGTAAGAGCCGATGGCGTGGAGGAAGGAAAAATTCTCCTTCTTCCAGGTCTCCTGGCGAGCGGCAAGAAGGGCAGAGGCGGAAGATAGACTTTACTAAGCCTCTCCAGTGTTCCGCTTATGGCAAACTGGGTTTTAGTCGCAAGTTTTGCCCAGATTGCAACAAGGGAAACGGCAAGGAGAGCGAAGAGAAGAGGTCATCTTCGCGCCTCCAGTAAATTCGACCTCTCGCTGCGGGTCGCCGATGGGAAACAGCAAGTTGTCGGCGACCCAGGGATCCAAACGAGTCCTGGAAGGGCATCAAGAGAGCCCAGGACCTAGCAGTATATTAGAGCAGAAGGCGATTGAACCCGATGTCAGCCCTCGGCAGAATAGGGGAGTGGTTATCCTGAAAAGACCAGATGGCCACATACAGGTTGTGGAGGAGGGAGAAGACTCCCATGGAGGGAGAGTCTCTCCACACAAAAAGCTCCTCTGCCGAAGGGATCCACGAGTAAAAGCCAGCCCATCGTCGTCGCGGCAGCGGAAGGAAAAAAGCCGCTGAAAAGCACGATGAAAGGAGGCGAAGATGGGACTCATGGATATGACCCAGAGGATGAGACCAGGTGGTGGTTGCGAGTAGACATAGGTGACTTTAAAATTAGAGCACTATATGATACCGGCGCCTCATCCACGGTCATGGGTCAATTAGGGCTGAGATTGGCATTGGAGATGGGACTCGGGTTGAATGTGACCAGGGCGGGCGATGCAAGGCTTGCTGATGGATGCCCGTGCCCTATAATTGGTCACGTGATGTTCCCTTTTAAAGTAGGGGGAATCACGAAGACAATCAGAGTCGCCATTACGCCGCTGCTCACAGATGACTGCTATGTAGGCGCGAACTTTATAAGAGAGTTCCGCGCAATTTTGGATCCCGATGAGGATGAATTATGGCTTAAGGACGCCCAAGTGAAAGTACAAATGGAAGTGGCTGGAATTAATGGTACGGCATTTCTCGCACCGGTAGGACTATGGGAAGCCACGGAGTCACAGCTTGAAGAAATTGAAGACCTCGTCAGAAGATTGATTCCTGATGGGGGTCAGGCTTTAGGTTGTGCCGTGGGGGTTGAGCATGAAATAGATGTTGGAAATGCTCGACCCATCAAACAGAAGTACTACCCAGTCTCAGATAGAGTGCGAGAGGAAATGCACACGCTGGTCAAAGATATGCTGGAAAAAGATGTTACCGGACCAGCGTCCAGCGGATGGTCAAGTCCAATAGTAA